CCCCCCCCCCCCCCCCATATTTTACCACACCATCATCGTCTCTCATTCATAGACCATGATCTAGCAAATAACCAACAACATAAAAAACTTGAAACACAAATCTGTTCTGCCCTTTGCCATTAGCCTTTAGCCTTTCAATTTCATTTTCCCGACTTGACATGTTTCAAAAGCTGAAGTAAGCTGAGATGGAATTACTGACACTTAATTAACTCTCAACTGGTAAAACAGATTAAACCCAACTTTTTTTCAGTCTAGACCAGTGAAACTTTCAGCAATCCAATAAACACATTTTTAGCATTTTTTTTTCTTTTGGGTAAAGAAAATACATCACCCCAGTTCCTTCTCAAAAAGATATAATGAGTTAATGTCTGACAAGTAACAAAAGGTCCTGTGGACCAAAAATTTTCACTGCACTTCTCTACAAGATAACAAACTTCTTTGTACATGATCCCAGGCTCACTTGTCTCCTGAAAATTTACTTTGTAAGTTACTGTAAACCACTGACAAGTGCTTCAATTCAGCATCAAGTCCATTACAACTGAAAGTGGAAAAAAAATAATCTTCTGAAGACTCTTCAGATATAAACTAAAGTAATGTAAAGTGAAGGCAGCAATATTAGTAGAAACAGATGGTTGAAATAATTTCATACCTTTTTGCTTGGTCAACTTTACAACCACTGACTACTAAAATCACCAATAATGTTTATGTACATACACACAATGCATCCTGAACTCCCAGAATATCATGTCATGGGAAGGTTAATTTTGTAATTGTTGCAGCAGTATAGATGTTGAATTCATCCAAGTATCAATATAACGTGTATGCTAACACAGTTTGCAAAAGAAAGAAATAATATTTCTCAAACACAGTGAAACAAGGAAAATATAAGCCAGCCCAGGAACATATTCTTCTTGTTTTTCAGTTCCTTGAACAAATAATCTGAAAAACCAAACTAATAGTCAGAGGGGGGGAAAAACCCTCTTAAGACGAAATTTAAGATCCAAGAGAATTGAGATCCTGATTGCGAAACAATGCTGAACCAAGTGCTATGTGAACTGAATATAACGAAGAGAAGTTACAGATGTCCTCTTATTTGTCTTTTTTTTGCACAAAAACACTTGGTCGACATACCCTTGTGGCAATGCCGACCCTTGCATCCTTCCCTAGGACTATTAGGAGCAGTGAAGGTACGGGGGGCAGTACGGGCAAGAGGAAGAATTGCTGATCTGGTGGTAAGAAGAGGAAGGCATTGGGTAGTTGTAAAATTGGTTGCTACTGCCATTGGTGTCAAAAGGCCCATAGAAAACCTGGTCAATGACTAGGTTGTTGAGTTGATCTAACTGATGCAGCTCCACACATTTGACTTGGGCCTTCCGTTCTTGAGCCATGTACACTTGGTAAGCTAGCTGGTGAATGAGGTTGAGCGTCTGCCGCCGCTCATGGCCCATAAGGCAGATGGTGCTTTCATCAACGACACGATAAAGGGTTGTGAGGTACTCATACTTCATATCCTCATCACCGTTGAAGTGATTGACCAGATAGGCTTCCAGTTTCTGACGTTGCTGGTTTATGTCACTAAAATCAATGAAGAAACGCGAACACATGTATCTCTCCATCGTCCGAATATCAATTTCATTTGCTGGGGTGTAACCCCTGACAAGAAGATTACAGTATTTGAGCAGACCACCACCCCTTATTTCCTCCGGGTTCCTTGTTGCAATAAGTTTATTATCCAGATGGTACCAGGCTTCAGAGAAATCACCATACAAACTTTCAGCAATGATGGTAGGATAAAAGTGTTCACTCATTGGAGCCTTGGAAATGTCATAAAATGTAATAAGGCTATCCAGGATAATTTGAAAGGAATCGACACTGAACTCAAACTGGCGCTTCATCTTATCCACAAATTTCAGTTCCACGTTTTTTCTGGTCTTGTGGGATAAAGAAATTAAACTCCACCTATCCCCGTGTTCATTACAAACCTTCACCATTTTTTGCACATAGGCTTCCTTCAAAGTACAGCTGCTTATTTTGTCCCTGCTAGTGCCATCTGGAAGGAAATTCACGATGCATCCAAGCACACAATTGCGAATTTTCTGAAGCTCATTATGGTTCGACAAATCCACACCGAAAATCAAATCAACATCATTGAATTCTTGAGCATTTGATGTGCCGAGAATGTAACTGGCGGCGCCCCCATTGAGACGAATGTCCCTTACAATGACACCATCTGCTGTCAGTTTGTCTTTCACGACTTGAACAAGATCTTTCAACTTGACATCGAGGGTAGGGAAGTTACCTCGTCCATGAATGGGAATGACGTCTTCCATAACTTCATGCAGCCTGGCCACTTGCTCATAACAGAGCACTTGAAATCTGTTGCTACAGCTTAGCGAAGCCATACCGGGTATTTGAGAAGACAAAGCCGCGTCTGCAATGAAAAGATGTGAAGATGTTATGGACGGCTTGCTTACCTCTACTCTCACTGCCAGCTTACCCGGCAGAGCGTAGACCTAATGTGCAGATTTAGCAACTTCTTACGCGTTCGATTGTTAGCCGCAGCACAACCAAAAACAAGTCCTTCCGCCACAATACGGGAGAATTTTTCTCAATGTTGCGAGATTGCAACACTTTCAGAAATACAAAAATATTAAAATCGACAAGAAAGAAACAGTAAAAATTCGTAAAAAGGATAGAAAACGTCTGCATACAAAACTAAAGACCGAGGGTTCCACAGAGGGCAATAATTGTAGTTTACTCCGCACAAACAGCTGTTTGGCCTACAATGATTAAAACGATCGTTCTGATTGGCTGAATACTGAGTTATAAAAAGTTTCGCCGAGGCCCGGGCAAGCCTCTACTGCGCAGCATGTAAATTATTGTTCTAGTTTGTGTGTCAACCTGTGGTGTAATAACAAGCCCAGTGTAATTACGTATGGGCCACAGTGGGCGTCGAAGGAAAACGTTCAGTGAATATAGCAAACGTGACATTTATTTGACAGCAGATCTTTCCGTCTGGGAAACTACCCCTATCGCTTTACAGTAGAAGCACCTTGCTGTTAATTCTAAAATTAAATAGCCGTTAATAAAATATTTTGGCAATCAAAAGGGAACCCCTCCCCTTTAGAAAAGTAAACCAGCCGACACGCATGGGTGAAATCGTGAAAACGAAACGACTTACAGTCTGAGCACCAGTGACACTGACACTACAGACTTCTTGCATAAAATGCTACAAAAATAGCGAGCAAGTCAATTTAAGAATGCTTCATCAGTAGTGTATTAGGCTTGGCCTGTATACAACAACGGTGGATGCAGAGCACTTGCAAATAACCGATGATCGAAAACGACCAAAGAACATTTTAAGTTTAGATCTAGATCTAGATCTACATTACCTTTTGAGAAATGAAATAGATCTAGATTTAGATCTACAAGTTCACGATATCCCAGAAGAAACGTAAACGACGTATCCGCTATAAACCTAATATGCAGTCGGAATGCAGTCAGAATTTGCACGCAAGCTACATAATAAAGATTACAAGCAGTTTGAAATACAATGCTCACAGTCACAGGCTTTACGAATCGCTACAAACAAGCGAGTAAAACTTCACCTCTGCCTCTGGCTCGCTTGTAAATATAGTGTTGACTCTGAAATACGTTGGTTTCCTACTGTGAACGTTTCAGCGTTGGTTGAACGTTCTCCTTCGGCGTCTGCGTGACTACTGAACCCTCCGAGGCTTCGTCTTGCGATAAAAATGACCTGTCCCAGTCGGCTATGGCGTTCCAAAAATAGAACGCGCGGGCGCTTCCCTCGTTCCATTCATAAAAGGCCCAGCGAGAGCGTCACCAATACGATGCTCTGCTATGATCGATTTTTCTACCCCCGCCTTTCCAGATTCCAGAGGATGGGGAAAAAATAGCAACAGCCAACGGAACTACTTTGACCATATATGGTATTGGTACACAACTAATAGCGATGAAACGAAAACAGAGTACGCACCGAGCCGCCTCGCTGACATAGGCTCTGTACTGGAAGTGGAAGCATTGATTTCATACTCATTAACGAAAACCTTTCATGTTTCACAACTTACGACACACACTGTACTCAGCTTAAATTGCATGCTGTCAGTTTGAGACCTTTGCTGGGGACATCCGCAACTCCAAGTTCTATTTAGTGAATGAACAAAAGTCACGATACAGGCCTATGCACCCTTCCCTGCCTGTTCATGTCAGCGTGTGTAATATATCTGTCCACGTCTGCTATTGTATCATAAGTTATCGGTCACACTCACACACGCATATACTCACACACACACACA